GTAATTATGTCCCCACTGGATGCAGCAAATGCCTCGTTTATAATGGGTTTTGCTGGTTTTGTCTCAGGGCGCATCACCGGCTCACAGGCGCTCGTCGCACACACGGCATCACAGTATGTTAAGGGGCGTAACATTTCCGTCACACGCTTGAGGTATTCGGCCAATCACAACGCACTGGATAGCTGGCCAATCAGAGCACACCTCGCTTTTCAGAATGATGAGCTTTGTAAAAATCGACGCGTTTCAGAAAGGCTGGGCATAGAGGAGAAACAATAATGTACAGTATGTGGAAAATAATGCATTTTTTTAACCTTAAACCGCATAAACACATTGCATTACACCAAATACACAACATGTTCTTTTTAGCAACGCCATATGACCCCTTTAACAAATGAAAAAAAAAAAGTTTTGATGCCAAGGACCCCCAAATATGATGATCCCTTTGCAACAGACCCCTTTCCTAAAAATATAAATAGAGCTAAATTTCATGTATATAGATTTATTTATGCTGTTTAGTATTTATTTGTACAAAAGCCAAAGACATTAAGTTAACAGCATATATTTTTGCGTATGTTTATGTCTTTCTTATTACTATGAAAATAATGTATAAACACAAACTTTTTAAATTCAGATTTTAATTATTATTCAAATTAATAATGTTCTAGGGAGTGTGTTAAAATGTTACACATATTTACTAAATATTTTACATAAACATTTGACAGCCCTAAAAATACACTTTTATTTTTTCATTTTCTTTATTTCAGATGTTTAAAAAAAATTGGAATACATGAAAATAGAAACAAATGTTGATATACATATAGAAATATTAAATGAATATGGATAACATAGCTGAGAACATGTGAATTTGATGCGAAATATTTACAGTAAGTTCATATTAGAATGGCTGGCTTTTGATCGCAGCGTTTGGTATCTTAACAGATCTGAGCACAGTTTGAGCCCGCTGAGATCTTATCTGAAACTAGAAACACATATGAGATGACCTGGGTCTTTTTCTCAAGAGAAACAATTCTGAGAAGCAGGAGACTATTGAGATACAAAGTATGTTGTATGTTTGGGATATTTTTTTTCCTATGGATTACTTTAAAAAAAAAAAAAAGACAGGGCATGTTACATGTGTCACTCAGTGATGTGACTTTTATTGTTTACTGTTACAGGCACATTTACAGTGTGAACTTGAGTCCCTAGTTGTCAGTTAATTAGTAATGAACATTGTATAGCAGAAATACCAGACTGGTGACCTTGAAAAATGCTTGTCTTACTTCCAAACACTGGAAGAAACACTATGCCTTTGTTTGTCTTCATTATATATATTTTTTCTCTTGTATCCTCTTTGTTTCTGTTGTTGGCAACTGTAATTACTTTTTTCAAATAGCAGATAGCGTCTGAAAGTGATTTTATCATGCTTACATAACAGAAAACCATGTTCATTTCCTATTCGGCTCTGTTTTTGTTTTAGCATTGTGTAGTGGACACGTACTTGAACTCAAAACTCAGACGGTTCAGGAGACAGCCTTCCCCTTCCTTCTATTGGTTATGCAATGCTTGTAACAATCACTATTGTGTTCTGTGAAGGAAAGTTCCCAGCAAGGATGTATAAAATAATTGACTTCCAGTTTCCATGCACATGATTTTGGGATAAAAGTACAAGGCCCCGGACATTTGTATATTATCTCATATGCAACAATAAACATTCATTATTTCAAAGTTATGATTATTGTAAGCATTAAATCTCTAGGAGCTCGATTGAGCTTGACCAAGAAAAAAATCCAGTCCCCATGCTTTGAAACTGGGTAAATGTTTCAGTGACCCAGTGGAAAACCCTTGTGATACGTCTGTACTCATATGTGTGTTTGGCAGCCAGTCTCAATGAATCAACCACGTCTTTCAATGAATCAACCACGTCTGTGGTCTTATTTTTCCAGACCACAGTCATCGAGTATGTCAAACCTTCTGATCTCAAGAAGGACATGAATGAGACTTTCAAGGAGAAGTTTCCTCACATTCGTCTAACACTGAGCAAGATCAGAAGGTAAGAATGTTGCTATCCAGTTCTTCTTATGTTGATAAAGCAGTCTACATGCTAAACATTTAATGCCAAGTATTTAAATTTGGCAGTGATGTACACCAAACCCTTGCATCACAACAGCAGGTATTTTCATGGCCAAATAACACTGGCATTTTTAAAATCTAGTTAATACTGTGTGACATGCAATATCGTTTTGAGATGGATGTCATAAAGAGCCATTTATTGAGAAATGTGGTTTTTAAGCAAAGCAATTTTGGATTCTGTTTTATGTTTTTTATCGTACAATATTGTATTTGGAAATTCAAACAATTAATGTTTTGATGCTTTTTAATGTTGTGTGAAGTTAATAATAAAATATTTATAGTCTTAATGTTTGAATAAATCTGTCAAATAAATGAAATACATTTTCTTAATAAATAAATAAATCATATCTCAGCAGTGTTTTGGAGTAGAATAAAACATAACACTCAAAATGTAGTTCTGGTTAAAAAATAATTCAAAAGGATCTTTCAGATTACATAAATGTTACATAATTTCTACATATCCTACAATATCTGAAACAACCAAATGTTGTTTTCTGACATCACATTGCCAATCATTGGAAAGCAGTGAAGAATTAATAATTAATTATTCAGTTATTCAATCAGGATTTAATCCTTAACATAGGTCTTAATACTTTGCAGAGTTAAGATTGGTTGTAATTTGGAATTAAACCCAACCAATGGCCAAATTATTCACATGCAGCAAGTGTGAATACCAGGGGCGATTCTAGGAGTTTCATTTTAGGGGTCTCAGCCCCCAATGAGGGTATAATATATATACAGGTGCATCTCAATAAATTAGAATGTCGTGGAAAAGTTCATTTATTTCAGTAATTCAACTCAAATTGTGAAACTCGTGTATTAAATAAATTCAATGCACACAGACTGAAGTA